TTTGTTATTTCGTTAGATTTTAGAAATTTTTTTTTTTTTCAGATAATATTAATATAACTATTAAAATATTAAAAATTATTTATTATTAAAATATATTAAAATTATTTATTATTAAAATTATTAATATTTAAGAATAATTACATTTTAATAAAATATTTAATATTAAAATATTTTATTAATATAAAAATACTTAAATAAAATTATTTATTATTCTTTATATTAATATTTTAAAATATTTAAAATAGTATCACTATTCTTAAAATATTATTTTATTAATATTAAAATAGTAATATTTATTATTAAAATATTTATACTAATAAAATATTTATATTTTATATTGAAAGCATCTATTATTAAATCATAACAAAAATCTTTTTTATTTATATTTATTATTAAAATAGTAATATAAATACCATTATAAGTAAAATATAAAATTATTTATTATGAAAATATTAAAAATATTTATGTTTAATAATATATAAAATAAAAATATTTAAAATTGAAATTTCAAAAGACTTTTAATGCTAATATTTTAAGTCTAATCAAATCAGGTTCAAATTTAAAACATTTTATTCAAAGTCTTACTTTAGTAAAACTATAAAAATATTTAAAACTAAAATATTAAAAGACTTTTAATATTAATATTTTAATTTTTAAGTAAAATTAAATAAAATTTTTTTTATTAATATAATAATATTTTGAGTCGGGTTAAATTAAATTTGAGTTTAAAAAATTATGTATAAAGTCCAATTTAAATAAAATTATACTCAAGCATATTGATAAGTAATTTTACTAATAAATAGTTTTTTTTTTTAAATCGTCCTTCTCTTTTGAAAATAAAAAGATAATTTTTAAAAAAATTATCTCATTTTTCATTTATTAATCAAGTTTTTGCGAAACAAATACCTAAAAATACAAAAATTATTTTTCAAAAATTATTTTTTCAAAGTAAATAGGGCCTATATTACATTATTAACTATTAATATATGTTATAATTTAATGATTATTTATCATATAAGTTCTACAATGTTACTAATATATTTATTTCTTGAAATGATTGCATGAAAGAAATCTTCGAAAAATTCTATTATTTCTTATATGTATTTCCCTTTGTGGTGTTATGCTCGAAATTTTTTAGCAATATCATTAAATTTTTGTTCTAAAGAAAAAAAAATCACAGCTTCAAATAATGGCATTTGTTGTGCTTAAAAAACAAAATAAAAAGAAAAGATTTGCATATAATTTTTGTTATTTTGCGTATTGTATTTGGAGACCGAATAACGTTATAGTTTTTCTTGCATAGTTGAGTTTTGGATTTTTTTTTTAAATAGTACTATCTAATATTAAGATATTTATAGCATATTCAAAATTGTTTAAAAGTATATTCTAATTATTTATAATTTATTTAAAATCTTTTAGTGATATCAATTAATTATTCAAAAGTTTTTATTTTTTGAATATCCATTTAAAAACCCATATTCGAATTTATATTTATTCATAAAAATGATTTATAAAATTATTATAAAATATTATATTTAATAGATTTGAAATTTAAATTGTAATATTTATAATTTTTTTATCTTCAAATTATGACTTTTTTTGTATAAAAGTATTTATAAAATATTAAAAAAAAGGAGAAAATTATGAAATGATAAGTTTAAATGTTTGATAAATTTATAGTTAAAATCTAAAATGAATATAAAAATTTTTAATTTAAAAAATTTTTTTACATAAAAAAGCTATAAGAGAATAAGTTATGAGATTACAAGTATTAAAACTCAAATTATAAATTTACTATTTTCTTTTTTTTACCCATGCCATGCATGGAATTTTTTATTATATTTTCATAATTTAAAATTTTAATTTATATTAATTTTTATATTATATGTAAATAAATAAAAATATTCTTAATCATCTGTAATTTATAGTTGAAAATTACAATAACCATTTATATATAAATTATTATGAAAGAATCTAAATAAACATTATGAAAATTTTAAATTATGAAAGTAAAATTACATATAAATCTCAATGAAAAAGTCAGTTTCTTATTAATAATTACAAACACTCTTAAAAGTATATATTATTTTAGTATGAAAGCTAAGATCTACACATGTGATATACCATGAAGGATTTTTTCATGTTTGAATTTAAAATTTTATCATGCTAAACTTTAATTTTATATTGATTGTGAGAAGAAATCATAAATATATATTTGATAATTATTTAATTTTAAAAAATTTTAAAATTTTAAAAATACAATTTATCCAAATTTAATTTTAAATTATGATAAAAGAGGAGTACAATTTTAAATTTAGATATGTGTATAATTTTAAATTGAGATAAAATATATATTTTTTATTTTAAATCATAAAAAATAAAGGTAAAAAAATTAGTAAATAATAGTGATTTAATATTAAATTTTATTTATTTAAATTTATATTAATATTGATTTAAATAATGTATGATTTTTTACTATTACTAAGATTTAAAGATTTAATCTTTAAAAGCTATTTAAATTTTGTATTATATATATATATATATGAGTAAGAGTGAAGTATAAGATATATTTTTTCAGATTTAAATTAGGATAAAATTTATATATTTTGAAAAAATCTTTAAAAATTAAATAATTGATTGAATAAAATTATTTAGAATAATTTTTTGTGTCAATAATATAAATTGTCCACTTAAATATTCATATAAATAAAATTTATCATATATATTATAATATAATATTATATATAATATATGATTAAATATTATCTTTTATAAATAATTACATTAACCAATTAAATTAAATTTTAAATAAATACCCGCACCAAATCGAATATGTATAAACGATTTTGCTGTAATTTTTACTAGCCATAATCTGAATATATTTATTTATAATTATCGAAGACCATTTTAAAATCTTCCCATTATTGTCATCCCAGCATTTCACATTTTTCTTTTTTCAGTAAATTTTTTCTCCACGCGCCAGTTAAGCCGCCGTCTATCACGGAAAGAAAAGCACAAAACCGACATAAATTAAAACTATTAAATGAGATTATTAAATAAAGCATAAAACTCTTGCTTTTTAGCACTTCATATTTTTATTTTTACAATTTTTTATATTAAAATTACTAGACATCAACTTTATGTTAAAAAAAAATTAAACATATACATATAAAAAGATCCTAAATAAAAAAAATAGTTTATTTTTTGTGAAAGTTAAATAAAAATAAATAATACGAAACAACTATTTTATGTTTTAAAATAAATTTTGTGAAAGCATTAAAGATTCCATTATTATTTATAATAATATTTTTATATTAAATGTAATAATTTATATAATAGTTTTAACACATTAAAAAATATAGTTTTAATTGAGTAACGTTAAAAAATACTTTTACGTAGAAGTGATTATGAAATTTTTTTTATTAAATTTAGATTAAATCATTTTGAATTGGATTATTTAGGTTAAATAAAATTTAAATTCTATCAAATTTAGATCTTTGGGATTTGAGATTCAAATTATTCAAATTTGAATTTTTTAATTTAATTTTTAAAATTCAAAGTGAAATCAATTTAATTTTAAAAAATTTGGTGTGTTATATTATTTTTTTATTTGTATTAATTTGAAATTTTTGTTGGATCAAATTTAAGAATATTGAAGAAATTTTTTGACCTGAGATTAAATTTTTTTTCAGTTATATTCTTTAGCAAAATCTTTTAAATACTCTATTTTAAATTTTATTGATTATCATTGAATTTTGAGAACCTTAAATAAAAATTATCATTTATTTTTTGAAATATGATTCAATGAATGCACGCGCGAGAAGTGCGTTTGAAATTGACACGAATTTATGATCAAATTATTGTGAAGAGGGGGTGGCAGCTTTCTTTTATATGGTGGAATGGGTGGCAGCTTTTGCTTTTAAAAGCTTAGCTCTTTTTGAATAATGTTATGAGGGAATGACTGTCTGCTCAAGGTAAAAAGGAAAAGAAAGAAAGGGTATGTGATCGTTAGCTGATGCTGGATTTGTTGGAATCTTCAATAAAGCAATAAAGCAAATAATAATAACAATATATATAAAAAACCCTAGCAATTCACTTTTTTTTTAATAATTAAATTTAATTATTCGTATGTTTATATTATATTAATATTAAAATTTTTATATTCTGTTATATTTTACACAAAAATTTGTATATAATTTATATTAAAATTTTAAATAATATTATATTTTATATTAAATTATTATATCATGTTTTGAATTATCGTTATATTTACAATCCAAGATTGAGTAGATTTTGGCATAAATTATTCCCATTTTCACGTTACGATAATGCAAAGAACATAGAAATGGTGGGTGACCAAATCCTGTATCATCATCAATCTCGAGCCACCCCATCTGCAACTCTCTCTTGAGATCCTCACATTCTCAATTCATTCAAAAGGAAAACCAATTAAAAAGATGGGTTTTGGGACTTTTACTGAATGGCCAAACTCAGAGAATGTTGGATTCTCCATTGTCCCAAGCAAACACTATTGTTTATATATTTTTCTCTGCCCATTTTGTGCTGCTTCACTCTGCCATCTGCCTAATTCAATGTATAATACATTGTGAAATTATTTTATATGTACACACACAATCCATCGTATTTTATATAATAATATTACTTACACGCATTAAAAAATATTTAAAAATACAGAATTTTTAATTTTAAATAAAAAAGAAAAAATTTACATTTTTGTGTTTATTTTATTACTATAAAATATAAACAATACCCTTTTATTTTTAAACTTGATGATGAGTGTTCTCCTTTTTGTAAAAAATTAAAAATAAAAAAAATTACAGATACTAAAATTTGACGTGTGTATGGCGTATGCTTTTCAAAGAATGTAGAAGTAATCAATATAACAGGTGAATTACCTAATATGTCCTTGTCCTTGTGGAATATAAACCTTAGATTTGGTTTAATTTTGTTCTTTTATGATTGTGGGTATTAATATTCTTTTCCTTACAATTCTCTTGCCTGACCCAGTGACAGGCATGCTAGTTCACTTTATAGTACCAATAAATCTGTTCTTTCTTTTTATTTTTTCTCATTTTTTTCTTGGGGACTGACACAAGATTTTAGTGAATAGATTTCTGGCATGGAAAGCAGGGACTAGTGGATTCTGATCTCAGGATTACCTTAAACAAGAGACTCACGTTTCAAACTTGGTTTTTCTGATTACTCTTACTTGAACACAAGTTTTAGCTTTGGGAACTGCCTGCTTCTTGTTCATGCGAATTGTAGATTTGTAGTTCAAATGGCAATGAGAAGAAGAGAAATTGCTTTTTATTTTCTGGCTTTCTTGTGGTTTTGGAGTCCTACAAATGGACTGCTTTCTCCTAAAGGTGTAAACTATGAAGGTAAGTAGGAAAGTTGCATTTCTTTCTTTTATCATGTGAATTAATGGAGATGTTCTAATATCAGTGTTTGTTTTTCAGTGCAAGCTTTAATGGCTATAAAGGATGCTCTGCATGATCCTCATGGTGTACTTGATAACTGGGATGTTGATGCTGTTGATCCATGTAGCTGGGCAATGGTTACTTGTTCACCTGAAAGCCTGGTCATTGGGCTGTAAGTCTTTTTATAACCATATATTTTTTGAGAAAATATGAAAGATTTACAAGAGAAATTAACCAACAAGCTTGTTGCAGGGGCACTCCAAGCCAGAATTTATCTGGTACTTTATCTCCAAGCATAGGAAACTTGACAAATCTTCAGATTGTGTAAGTGACATTCAGCGTTTTTCAAATTGAATGCATCATTTTCTTCTTTGTCTGATGTTAATGCTACTTCTGCAGGCTATTGCAGAATAATAACATAACAGGAGCAATTCCTCCAGAGCTGGGGAAGCTCTCAAAGATTCAAACACTCGATCTTTCTGATAATTCCTTCACTGGGGAAATTCCTTCCTCTTTAGGCAACCTAAAGAGCCTCCAGTATATGTAAGAACTCAAACCTGAAGCTAAAGACTAGAGATTAAGGACTGCATGTCCGTTCATTTTGGTTTAAATTTAACTTGAGCGCTGCAAATTTTTTATTTCAGGAGGGTAAACAACAACAGTCTCTCTGGAGCATGTCCTGTGTTTTTGGCTAACATGACCCAGCTTGCCTTCCTGTAATCCTCTTAATATTTGTTTCCTACCTTCCTTTTTTTTCCCCTCCTTCTAGATCAATGATTTGTATCTGTGATTGAATTTGGTTTTCTTATTTGTTTAGTGACTTGTCATACAACAATCTGAGTGGATCAGTACCCAGATTTGCCGCTAAAACATTCAGGTATATTTCCCTATCTTCTCTTTAACTCTCATGTCTCAGAACATTATGTTGATAAACATTGCTCCTTTACTATGTTATTGCAGCATAGTGGGGAATCCTTTAATCTGTGCGACAGGTTCTGAACCAGAATGCCGTGGGATGACACTGATGCCAATGTCCATGAACTTGAACAACTCACAAAGTACGGAAATTTCTTAACTTTCTCAAATTTTAATGTAGTAAAAAAAGTATGGATTTTAAGTACTCTTATGGTTTGTCTGACTTGAACCACTTTTGCTTCTCAAGCTGCTCTGCCTTCTACCAGATCCAAAAGTCACAAAATAGCCATTGCCTTTGGCTCGAGCATCGGATGTGTGTCCCTGATGTTTCTTATACTAGGAGTACTACTTTGGTGGAGACAAAGACGGAATGAACAGATATTCTTTGATGTTAAAGGTCTGAAATAATTGTGCTTACTACATAAGTCTTCATTAAATTATGTTGGAATCCTTGAGGTGTAATAGCTAACTAATACTTGTAACTGGTGTCATGTAATTTCAAATTTCAGACCGGAATCAAGAGGAAGTTTCCCTCGGAAACTTGAGGAGGTTTCAATTCAGAGAACTTCAGATTGCAACACATAACTTCAGCAGCAAGAATATATTAGGCAAAGGAGGTTTTGGGAATGTCTACAAGGGAATTCTGCAAGATGGAACAATAGTAGCTGTTAAGAGGCTTAAAGATGGTAATGCTGCAGGAGGAGGCATTCAATTCCAGACTGAAGTTGAGATGATCAGCCTGGCAGTGCACCGAAACCTTCTACGACTTTATGGATTTTGTATAACACCCACAGAGAAACTTCTTGTTTATCCATACATGTCTAATGGAAGTGTTGCCTCCCGTCTCAAAGGTAAAATAAGAACAGCATGTTGGTTATTATAGTCATAACTTTACAATGCTGTATTCGAGTTGGTTAACTAAACTTGCATGTCTCTTCTGACAGGAAAACCGGCCTTAGATTGGGGCACAAGAAAGAGAATTGCTCTTGGAGCTGCCAGGGGATTATTATACCTTCACGAGCAGTGTGATCCAAAGATAATCCATAGGGATGTCAAAGCAGCAAATATATTGCTTGATGATGATTGTGAGGCTGTGGTGGGAGATTTCGGGTTAGCAAAGCTTTTGGATCACCAAGATTCACATGTCACAACCGCTGTGAGGGGCACTGTGGGACATATAGCTCCAGAATACCTCTCCACAGGCCAGTCTTCTGAAAAAACAGATGTGTTTGGATTTGGAATTCTCCTCCTTGAATTAATAACAGGTCAAAGAGCACTAGAATTTGGCAAGACTGCTAACCAGAAAGGGGCAATGCTTGATTGGGTGAGTATAACTATCTTAATCATCTCACCTGGAATGCTTAAATATAAAGCATTGATTATTCACTTTTGTGACATTAATTGCCACCTGCAGGTAAGGAAAATTCATCAGGAAAAGAAGCTAGAAGTGCTGGTTGACAAGGATCTTAAAAACAACTATGATCGAATTGAGCTAGAAGAGATGGTTCAAGTAGCATTGCTATGCACACAATACCTTCCAGGCCATAGACCAAAAATGTCTGAAGTGGTTCGAATGCTTGAAGGTGATGGACTGGCTGAAAGATGGGAAGCTTCTCAAAGAGCTGAAGCAACCAAGTGCAAGCCCCATGAGTTCTCTTCATCGGACAGATATTCTGATCTCACTGATGACTCTTCATTGCTTGTTCAAGCCATGGAGCTCTCTGGCCCAAGGTGAACTACTTATAAACTTAACTATAAACCTTTTTTATCTTTCAAAGAGAGTTAGAAAATTATAGTTGAAGTAGTATCTGCTAAAATTCCTACAGTTGTGTAATAGTGGAAGCATAGCATCGGTCGAAATGGCTTCCAATTTTTTTCCTTTTTCCTTTTGTTGTTACTTCAACTGTTCAACTGTACAGATAACAGCCTAAGAAGACATCATTGAAATTTTGATATGGAAATTTCATGTAATTGCTATTGCTATTGAGTGAGGGATCTGAGAGGCTGTCTGGTGAATTTTGTAAGATCAAATATATATTCTTTGCTGGAGTCTTAGTTGTAATTTTAAAAATTAGATGATACAATATTGTAAAAGTTGTTGTGCTTATGTCACTTTAATTAGAATTTTGGTTTATAAATTGATGTTTTTATGTTTAGTATTAGATTTTCCTTAATTATGGCGACCATTAATTGAAGTTTTGGTTTATAAAACAGACAGGTAAGCCCAATTGAGTTCAAGTGATCATTTAGTTACGAGCTTTAATCTATCTTATTCGGATTAATGTGGTTAGACGGTAAATATTGGTCATAATCCGACTTAAAACAACGATTCTCTAAAATAAAATGAAATTTTACCTCTCTTCTATATTGTTTTGATTAGTTTTTATCAAAGTTAATGGCTGATTGCATTAGATTCAAGTTATAATAATCTCTTGGAGCCATTAATTGCTTGGAAAAATAATCAAAACATGATAATTTAAGAAAAATCAAGAAAACATAAAACGGGTGTAGCATATTCATTAAGCACATAGCATATTTATTTGTCAAAGTATATGTCCATTAAAATATAATTCTTTTTTATTTTCATTGTAAAAAAAAAAATCAATTCAATACATCTGACAATTTCCAGAGCAAACCACAATTAAAGCATAAATAATTGATGTATTCAAATACAATATACACAATAAAATCCAAATATATATATTAAAGCATAAGAGAAAATATATTCTATTTTAACATTTTAACGCAATGATCACAAACTCATAACCCCATGTTGATGAGAAAGAAATATAAAATTGTAAATGAATAAATGTCATCATTCATGTCCAAAATTCTCGTCGAATAAAATATGCTTTTAATATAATATTTTGACATTCAAAAATGTATTTCATCAAAAAATTTGTCATTTGTCAATGTAGGAACTGAGCATGGGCGTTTATGTTGCCCAATTAATGTAAAAACAATGTTAGGATAATTATTATGCTGCCCAATTAATTAAATTAAAATAATTTAATTTAATTAATTCGATTCAAAATTAATTAAATCGATGAAATAAACATCTTTATCAACTGATGAATCTAGAGGAAGAGCATTCTGATAATTTTATGTAATAATAATTAATGAATGGTTAACTCAAATAATAAAGAGAAAAACATATTTTCTGAACTATTTTAATTCAAATCTGCTAAGAGATTATAAACAAATAATTTTTTATAAATTTGTTAAATCCGATTTTAAAAATTCTGTTTGAATCGATAAAAAAAAAATATGAATGAAGTAAAGCCCAAAAACTCTACTTCTTAATTAAAAAAAAAATTGCATAATAATAATAAAACACTATGACGATCCGTCGTATCAAATGTTATGTACGCTTTGTCACAAATGTATGCTGAGATAGTTTTTTTCAGTAAATATTAATGCTATTTAAAATCTTACGTAACTCGATATTATCTTGCGTTTGTAATATGACATGTGATAATAGATTAGTAACTTTCATATTAATTAGTATGTAAGCCGGTGCTTTACTACAAAATCTATAATATTTCATCTATCACATACTAATAAGGAATTTAAAAAAAAAAATTAATTTTCTTAAAGTAAAGAGAATAGAGAGTGAATATAATATAATTATAAAAATACATAAATTTGTATTATTAGAACTAAAAGGAAAACTCACATTTTTTTTTCCTAATCCTAGTGTCTCCTCCAGAACTACTGCTAATGATGGTGAATGAGATATTTCCCAGTCACGAAACTGTTGCAAGCATTGAGAAGACACTGTCTTGGTCTTTGGACAACATCCGAAGCTTCCTGAAATTAGACATATAAACGGTATATGCCAATTACTTTCTCAGTTTTAAAGTATGAATATTGACAAATAACTAAATGGATGGAAGAGATATAATTCATGTGAAATAAACATCTTAACAATGGGAAATTGTTTAGCATCATAAACCCCAGGAATAGAATAGCAATTACTCTACAAATATTTACACTCATCAACATTCTTCAAATATAGCTTCTCTGTTTGCCAAAATTTAATGAACATAAGGCAAGGAACATAACTGAATAATGCAGAAAAAAAAAAAAAAAGGAAAGAGTTTACTTGTGCATAACCATTTCCTTCTTCATATTCTGTGACCCCATAGTTGTATGTCACTGTCAGTTCCAGCATGGCATTTTTATCTTCAGACCATAGCCCATCATGGTTATTGTATGCCGAAAAGTATGCAGAAATATTAATGGGAAACTATAAAATGACCAGATATGATCAATTATTCAATATTTTGATGGTCGGTAAAGAATGTATCTTTACCTTATACTCTTATCTTTCTTTCGAAGTAGCTCCACGCCAAAAGCCTAAAAATCTAGGAACAAAGATTGGAATATAAGCATTTTATAGTGCTACAAGCTATAGAAGCAATTAAAACTGCTAAACTTTAATATAACAAAGGTTGCTTAACTCTGGAAAGCCACCCACCTTCTTGTAGAAATTAATAGATCAATCAAGATCACCAACTTGAAGCATTACTTGACAAAGGGGCTCAGGAGTAGGTGCCCTCTCTAAAAGTTCAAACTTACAATCATCTGGATCTTCGATAAAAGCAATTATTGTATTTCCACCTTTAACAGGACAAAGAGCATAAAAGAATAAACAGTTCACAAACCGTAATGAAATCATGAATCTCAGTCAAAACAAAGCAATAGATATCGTTAGTCCCCATTGTACCTGTACAATTTAGCATCAGAAAAAGATGAGTGAACTCCACATATTCACACATTGCCCAGGACAAATCACATTGCAAAAAACCAATTTTGATGAATTGAGAGTCCCATCCAATCAAATAAGAAAACAATGTAATTTAATTATTTAAGCATCAATTAATACTAATAAAACAAAAAAATAATATAGATGAGATACTATAAGGATCTAAAAATTTAAAAAACATATTCAAAATTCATTGTAGTTTAACAAACCACTAATCATTTCAGAAAGCAAGGACTATATTACAATCCCAGGTGGTGAAACTGAGATCACACGAGATTGTGGTCATAACAAAACCGTACAAATTAACAAACCAGTTGAAACATGAATTTGAGCCAGCGGAGATGCAAGCTGCATTCAGCTTACTTACATTGTCAGTTTCCAACCAACTCCAACTTATCCTCCAGAAGGCAATATGTTTCTAACTTCAATTAAAATGTCTAAAAAAGCAAAATTTAAACAGAACATCAATTAATTTCTTCAAAAATAAACACAACTTTTGTTTAGATATAAAAAACTTAATAATAAAAGAGAAAATAACCGAAAAGCAAAAGAAAGATAGGAAAAAGGATTGGGTTTGGGTTTGGGCTAAAGGAGACATGCAAGATTTCATTCTCTCTCTACCCCTTTCTCCTTATTTTCTTACTCTCCTTTTTTTCACTTGTCTTGCCTTGGCTTCTTGGTTAATGGTAGCTGAACATATGCTGCTCCACTTGATCCAGCCCTGCTGGAAAAGGATCTACTATAATGGTAGGAATCTCATCCATCAAGTTGTCAGGACTTCCAGAGTGTAAATACGTGTTAAACCTCCCATCTCAGACACAGGCAAGTCATTCTGCTTCTTATACCAATAGTACATAATGCAACACTGCCATTTGCTTTATGGAGCATCAGTAACTGTTAAGGCAACATGGAAAGGCAGCTTGGCATTCTTTGGTTTCCTCATATTTTCAGGCATCTCAATGACAAGATCAAAAAAATCCCACCATTGGAGTCATCTACTATCCATTTTGAAATAGATCTATTGTGCATTACAAGTGTTACCAGATTATATTTAGCACAGCAAAACCCAAGAACTAATGTAACCAAAATGAGTGGTGAAGCACATCCCCTGCTCTTTTTCACTATCATTGATGGTTGTAGTTAAATGAAGACTCAGATTCTCCAAATCAAAACAAACCATCCTAGCTCAAATTGCTTAAAAACAAGGCATATACTCCAAAAGTGTCCAAACTGGTTAATAATGAAAAGCTACTAATGCATTAGCTTCCTAACATAATTGAAGTTCCAGTTGACTTGCAAGAGAATGCAAGCTCCAATGGTACCTGCACAAGAATTACTGTAAATCAATTTGATGTAGATCAAGAACTACACAAGTTTGCAGACTTATGGTACTTCGTAGGAAATTAAAAACAAGCAAGACTTTTCATAAGTCAGAATATGAAGTACTGCTTGATATCAATAATACAGATTTTGCTATATATATAAATATATATATAAAAGAGTAGCCAAAAATCTACATAAAATAGAAAAGATATTGTTGAGATGAAACACCAAAAAAAGGCTCACATTTCATACAAAATTTTACAATAACAGAATTTCTCCATATAAGAATCAAAGATATCTGAACAGAACAAAGAGGGAAGCATTTTCCATTAAACCAAACAAAACCTTCAAATTCATCAATATCAGTCAAAACAACAATGTAGTTAGCAAAATTAAACAGCTGGAAGAATAGAATAAGACCCAGAAGCAGCAGCAACCAACCTTAGCTTCTGGAAATCTGATCCAGTATTACAATTTGAGCATCAAAAGGAACCTGTGTACGCCCCTAATAAGAATCTGTTCCTCAAAAAGTAAAAAAATACAAACTGAAACTGCACCCCAACATGACATAACCACTCTATTTCCTGTTCCCTTGGTTCAAAGTTTCTAGGCACCCTAAACTATACATTAGCAAGAATTCCCTAAACCACCACCAATCCACTAGTATACAATTTAAACCCAAAAAAAAAGCAAAACGAAGCATCAATTATATGCACGAAGACAAATTCTTTCTCCAAATAACCAATTTAAGCAGAAGTAATTTAACTTATATACCTTTTCACTAAATTGCAATCAAATTTTATGAAGCAACCTCCATTTTACTAAATTGCAAACAGAACTTTAGGCAATATTTTAATAACATTTTTTTTAAAAAATCAAAGGCCTTTTTTTTGTTTGTTTAAACGTCAGAACATGTTCTTTCAAATTACATTACAGAGAAAAATAAATAAATAAAGAGACAGAGGAAGAAGCTTACGATGGTAGGGAAGGGGAGAGAGGTCACGCAAGGGAGCACGTGAAGGGGTTAGGGTTTTGCCTTGTATTGGTTCATCCTTGTAACTGAGTCAGGGGGTCGAACTTAATAATCAATGCATGTGGCAAACCAAGAGTTCAAATCAATTCCAGCTTTTGCATTGTGGAATCTGATCAAGAAGTTTCCGAAAAGTGCTTTATTCCCAAATTACCTTCAATATATTTGTTTTCACATTGTTGCGCTGTCCCGTTCAACACAAACAGGGGACAGCTTTTATTTTAAGGCATAGATTATCATATAAATTATTTAAGACATTTTGCATTGAGGTTGTATATTTCAGATTTAGCAATTTATTTTCATGCTTTATTATATATTTTTTAATTTGTGTTATTTATTTATTTTTTTTGGTTAAAAAATTTTAAAATAAATAAATTATTTAATCTTTAAAAAAAAAAGATAACTCTTGTTTTAGATAAATAAATTGTTCATAAATCAAAATAAAATATATCATATTTAACGATATAAAATAAATACTTATAAATTATATATTTAAAATAACTTTATTATTACATTCAAATTTAAAATTTTTTTATTAAAAAAATAAATTTTATTCAATTAAATAAATTATTTGTTGATATATTTATTTCATATTTTAGTTTATTATATTTTTTATTTTCTTTTAAGATTGACAGATGACGCGAAGTTGTCTACCTATCTATTTATTTTTTTAAATACATAAGAAATTATTTATAAATTATATTTTTGCATTAGACTGGTTGTTTCCAACCCGGGGGAAAGAGGGCCCAGAAGAATCATTCAGGAGCTGATTGCATAAGCTCTTAATTTTTATTATTAATATATTTATATAGTATAAAATATTAAAATTTATATATTTATATTATATTTTATACAAAAATTATATTATGTAATTTAAATATAAAATATATATTTTTAATTTTGTTAAATTTAAATATGATTATTATTAAAATTTTAAATTATATCAATTTTATATGTTTTTTTCGTATTATATCGGTGCGGTATTCCGTATCGCCTGTTGTCTTGTATATCGTGTGGTGTAATTACAAAGAAAAAAACAAGGAATTACCGACACGACAACAAAAGAAACAGATACCCTTTGGTCGGCGAAGTTTCCTTGGCTACCTTTCTTCCTTTCTCGTTTGCTTCTCCTTCTCTATTTCTGTCCCTCTCCCGCTGCAAACTGCAAAGACCAACAACTTCAATTTTCTGAAATGGGTTTGTGGGATTCACTTCTTAATTGGCTCCGCAGGTAATTCCCCTTCGTCTTTTTTTTTTTTTTTTTTTTTGAATTTCTTTCATAGTGCTGCAAGTTATTTGGTTTCTTAGAAAATGCTACTTAATTCTCTCATATGATATTAATATTTGTTGAAAATGGAAAATTTAAATATAATTATGATTTAGTTAATTCTCTATGTACGAGTTGTATGGTTCAATTTATACTTGATTACATCACTAGGAAAAACCAGCAGAAATTTCAAAATTATAAGGTTGGATTATAATTTTGTTATGGTATTGTTGCTGGCAAAATCATGGAATTTTGAATCCAGATTAGTTCAGTGAATTTATGCAGCAACTCTAATAGGTGACATTCAGCAGGATTAAAATCTCCACATCTGCTACTCCTTCTATCTCAGGTTGCAGCTGTGGTGTCATGGTCCTAGGGAGGAGTCATGAATCCCACATCGGCTGTGTACTAGAGTTGGTCTTGAGATATAAGTGTTCATATCACCTTTAACTTGTGATGTATTTTTTGTGGGATAAAATCGTGATGCTCAATAGGCTGAAGTGGACAATACCTTACAAAATGGTGTGTACCCTGACACGTAGCCTTTTTGTAAAGTAAAAGATATGAAAATTTTAAAATAATCTCTTACCTTTGGTTTACTGGTCTGCTTTTCTGCTGGGAATATATTATAGATTGTGGAAGAACTTTATATCTCTTACTTTGGACTTAAGGTTATATTTTATATTGATTAAAGAGCAAAAATAGCATTAACGGTTGTGACTAGCTTAATCTTCAAACTGCTGGAAACCGTTCAATGTTCATATCAAATACCTTTGTTAGTGAGATGGCAAGCTGCAATAATGACAAATACTGTTGTGATTGTGGAAAAATTAGTCGGATTTTTTACGTCTCTTTTCTAATACTATTGAAGGTATTATTGGAATGAGTTCATGTGTTCTCTAAAATTCTATATTCAGATATTTATTTTTAATTCAGTGGAGTTTCTTTGTTATAGAGGTCCAATAGGCCTTTACTTTTTAATTGAGGGAGTCAAGGTGGTAGACTTCTTAGTGAACTTAGTTACAGTGTTCAATTCTGGTGTCATGTTTCGGCTTTACATTTGTAACCTTTTACTAATGTTTTATGCATGAAAAGAATTAATTGTTAATCTGCAAATGTTTTGCGGAAATTTGGTACAACTAGATGCTGTGGATGTTTGTGACCGGGATATTACATTGTTTGACTTTCTCTGCAGCAGCTTGATTGGAATTATCAAGTAGTAATGTTAATGTGAACTGTAAAAAATATATAGTACTAAAGTGTTTTCTTAGTAGATTTCAATTTTGATGGTCATTAGCTCTCATATGTTCTTCCATTTTGCCATCCACTTATCCATATGCCTGGATAGGCCTTGCCATCCAGCTTCCTTCTCTCATCGAGGTAGTTTATTTGTAATATCGTTCTAGATAGCAAGTTTCGCTGTATAGTTTGTTCTGAGGTACGGTTGGTGTGAAGATGTGTTTTTAAGTGCTTCTGTGTTTCTTACCGAGTATCTTCATTGCAGCTTATTCTTTAAGCAGGAAATGGAACTATCACTCGTCGGTCTTCAAAATGCAGGAAAAACGTCTCTTGTTAATGTCATTGCTGTGAGTAATGCAGAATTTGTTTCTTTCTTTTTCTTTTCCTTCCTGCTTATATAATTAGCATCTGTAGTGGCTTTATCTGAACTTTACTTTTTTTTTTTTTTGTTTACCAGACAGGAGGCTATAGTGAAGACATGATTCCCACCGTAGGTATCTTTTATTTGGACAAACCAGATATTATAATTTTCCTTGAGGATGTCTTTAAAAAAAAATCTTCAAATGTGGAATCCAGGTTGGTTTCAATATGCGAAAAGTTACAAAGGGAAATGTGACAATAAAACTATGGGACCTTGGAGGACAACGAAGGTTTCGTACCATGTGGGAGCGTTACTGCCGTGGTGTCTCTGCTATTGTGTAATGCTTCCATTCTCTTAATCTACTATATTTATGGTATATTAATTAACTTTTGTCATCTTTATTTGCTGCTTAAGATGATCTGGTTCTGATTAGAAAAGAAAAAAAAAATTCATTAGTGTGCTGGTGAGAAATTTACATGTTTTGGGAATGAGCACAGGTTTAAAAAGGTGCCTGATATTTTATTCAGCATAATCATGTTCTTCATAGCAGTAAATTTACCTGGTTCATGTTTATGATGTGAATTTTAGTTGAAGGCTTCTTTTAGCATATAACTAGGAATTATATCTGTGCGCAATTTTTGGAACTTACTCTGGGTGCAATTTATTTTGACTCTTCATGCCATGATAACTAAATTCAGAAGTTTTATCAAATTCTTTATTTGGGTAGTGAACATCACCCCTCTTGATGATATTCAGACTCAAAGAACCATGTTAAATTTCAAATAACTTTTCCATGCAGTTCAACACGTACCTATTACCGGATGCATTACAATACTGAACTGAAAACTTTCATTTTCTTTCATGTTGACCAAGAAAACAGGAAAGAACATAGAATCAGAATCTTGTCAGTGTAGTATAATTAAGTTTGAAAATCTTCGGAATTAGAATGAACTTTAATAAGTTGTGTCATATTGTTCTATTGGCAATCTTTCTAATGAATTTAGTATCCCATTTAATATATGTAATGGCAGATATGTGGTTGATGCTGCTGACAGAGACGGTGTTCCAATATCACGAAGTGAGTTACATGACCTCTTAACAAAACCTTCCTTGAGTGGAATTCCTTTGCTTGTTCTTGGCAACAAAATTGACAAGTCAGAAGCTCTTTCAAAGCAAGCTTTGGTGGATCAGTTGTAAGTTTCAGAAGCTTGGCTACAAGTTTTTTTGTCTTCTTTTTGATGATTTATCTTCACAACTTGTTTGTCTATTCTTATTGAGAATCTAAGAATGTCTTATTATTTTGTTGATATTTAATTCATAGAGGTCTCGAAACAATCAGTGATAGAGAGGTGTGCTGCTACATGATTTCATGCAAAGATTCCATAAATATAGATGTCATAATTGATTGGCTAATCAAGCACTCGAGAACAGCCAAATAAGCAGTCGTGCAATGTTCTCCTCTTTTGTCTCATTGCAAGTAATGGAAGGAAAGATCCCATGCATACAGGTAGAAGCTCTGGTACATATTTTCATGGAATTTCCTTAAATTTACGTTATTTATGGTCCAAATAAGTTTTTTCTTTACCGTTGGAAAGAATTGAGGCCTAGTTTTTGGTTGTGCTCCAAAAAGGCACGTTGTCTAGCATTAGAACAATTGATGGTGTTGAATGATTGGCTATAAAATTGATTAAGCTAGCTTCTCCTGATGATCTGGATCTAAAGCCAAAGGAAATGTGGCTCTTAAGATTATTTGTTTATGTTTGTGTATTTGCAAGTCTTGTTTTTACTGGTATATTCAGGTGCATTAGTCTCCTTTAATGGAGTGGAAGAGTGAATTGCCTTTTAATGTTTACTTCTAAACAATAAGCTTTGTAGTTATACAAAAGAAAAATATACCCTTGTCTTTATGATAAAATAAAATGCGAGCTTTGGCTCAACGAATGTTAATTGCATTTCGAATTGCCTTTCGATAAGATTTTATTGTTTCCAAATTATTCTAAATGTGCATCTTCTTTGTTCTATTTCAGTGTGATTCTGTCCTTTCTCTTAAAACTAACATGTTGATAGTAATCATATAAAATCTTAAGGTCATATTTGATAAACAAGATTATGATAGAATAGGATAAGATGATTTTATAAATAGGATTAGATTAAATAATATCATCATATCTTATGTTTGATGTATGCAAGGATTAAGATAGGATAATTTATTTATTGATCAAAATTATCTCTCCTCAAAGTTTAAATTTATTGATGTAATTTTTAAGGGTTTAATAGGACATGTAAGTTTAATCCCATTGATTAAAAATAATCCTCTTCACTTTGGGAGAATTGAATCATCTTATACCAAGAGGATGATAACTCTCCTTGTAATCCTATCCTTTTCAATTAAATACAAACCAAACATGATATAAAATGATTATCATACTATCCTATCCATCATTCTATGCATCAAACATAACTTAAGATCATGTTTTGTGCATATGATGATAGATAGAGATAAGATGATAATCATCTTATACCATGTTTGGTTTGTATCTTAAGAAAGGGATGGGATTGCAAAGAGGATTAATCATCCTTTTGGCATAGGATGTTCAATCCTTCTAAAATGGAAAAAATTATTTTTAATCTATAGAATTGAACTTATATGTCCTATTATATTCTTTAAAATTACATCAATAATTTAAATTGATAAATTTTGAATAAGGATAATTTTGATCAATAAATAAATTTTTTTTATCTTAATCTTTGCACACATCAAATACAAGATAGGATAACGTTATTTAATCTAATCTATTCATATGGGATACCATTATTTAATCTAATCTATTCATAATATCATTTTATCCTATTCTACCATAATCTTGTATACCAAACATACTCTAAAGCTATTGGAACTTGGTTGGGGCTGTTTAGTTTGTGGTTTTGAAATATTGCCATTGAAATAGGATTCCTCGATATCCTACTATGAAATCAAATATCCTTTAGAGGCCATAAATTGTTTATTTCTTTGGTTTGATCAATATATTACTAGGTATGTTTGATTATAGTATTTAGTTTATTAGTCACATATATTTGATTATAGTATTTAGTTCGACAGTAATATTTGAGTAATAGGCAAAAAATTCTCTCTCCCTTAGAGATTTTTTTGTCATTTACATGTGTGAATCACAATTAGAGGATGAACAATTTAACCATGTGTGATTTACTTCAACTCTTACTTGGTGTTCTTAGTATTAGTTTTTCAAGAGAGTCTCTTAACTCTTCTAAATTAGTGCTATATTATGTTAAACAATCATTGTGATCTTATTTTGGGGAGTTAAATTTGTGCATATGTCTACCACTATGCATCAGCAGGCTTTTGAACTGGTTCTAAGATACCTCAAAGGCATAGTTTGCATTTTTTATTTATTGGAAAAAAGTCTGAATTAGGGGTGTCAATTGGAAGGGTTGGTTTGAGTCCGATCACTTTTGATAGAGAAAAAATTAGATCGTTTCAAGTTTAGGGTTTTCGAGTTCTAATGCTCGGGTTTTGGTTTGGATCATTTGATATTTAAATTCTTGAGTTAAATTAATTTAATTTCGGATCATTTCATTTTAGTATTTCGTATTAATGTTTTGGATCAATTAGGTTTAGATATTTTAAATTCAGTTTTGGATTGTTGACATATCTTAATCAAACTAAATTATTTTAATTTCGGATTGAGTATAACCAATATGATGAAAAGTACGAGAAAATTAACGAAGAATATGACATTTTGAAAGCTAGAAGTATGAGAAAATTAACAAAGAATACGATATTTTGAAAGCTAGAAGTGTGTTGGATTTTTATTTATAGTGATCAAAGTTTAAAATTTAACAGTCTCAAATATCAATATGTAAAGCAATCTAATGGATTTATTTTCTCAATCGGAAAAGAAATTTCATTTCATCGCCTCGGGGCTGTAGAACATTTTGTTCATGAAATTGTTAAACGTCAATCTGCAAAGTGCACATCGAAATTTTAGTACAAAAATTTTCTAATCGAAACAAATATGTTTTTTAAAATAATATTTTTGAGAAAACTCGAACTGAAATGCCTTAAATTAACCTTTTTTTTCTGCCTTTAAGATTTTCCTCCATTAGTTAAATAAAGTATTTTATATATGAATTAATATTCGATAATTATTAGTGTAAATTTTTAATTACATAAACAAAATTAAGATATTGATATATATATTTATTCTCAATTAATTTTTTTTTAAATAATGCTGTGGATATCCTCAAGTTTTATTTTCTCAAATGCATTCAGAATTTATTCTTGTATTATTTTTACAAAGATTAAATCCTGATTGAAAAAGAGACGAAGGTTTTTTTTCTTACCAATTGAATTAACCCGAGAACACGAGTCTTTTTTTTTTTTTTACACCTAATGACATGAACGAGTCGGCAGGATAATTTCTTACTTGTTGCGGGATAAGTAGGCAATAACAAAGATTCTACCAAGGAATTGAATATGATCGAAGGAGGCTCCAGTTGTTTGCTCTAGGGAAGCTCCATTGTTGTTTGCTGCAGCACTCGTTTCATATCTTCAGTTGTCAAGCAAAAGTACTCATCTTCGGCCGAACGCATAATGGCCTCAGCCTGAAACAATTTGTAATATCAATATCACGTAAAAGTTCTAAACAAAGGAAAATCCACAAGAAAAATAAGAAGAAAATAAATATAAGTGACATTTGGTATGGAGGATTCAAAGAGAAAATGATGAAAAAATTTTAATCTAATGATTGAGATTCATAAAAACACATGGTATTTTATTGTTTAATCATCTAACTAAATATTTTTTTTCTTTTTTCTATATCAAATAGAATAAACATGTAAATGATACATCAATATTTGTAAGCTATTTGGATTTGATTGATATAAAATTTGAATTCAATTCGATTATTGTTTAATTAAGTTTAAATTCAAGTAGCTCGATTTATCAAGTAAGCCAAATTCGAGCATTTTAATTTCTAATTCGAATAATTCGCGAGTCTAATTGAGTTTTTAATTTTTAATATATTTTTATTATTTTAATTAAAAATTATTATTTTATCCTTTTATATATATATATATATATATATATATAAATTTGAGTTCGATCTCGAGTTCAAACATATTATCAAGTTTGAAATCGTGCATGAATTGAATTCATTTTTATTAAATAAGTTGAATTAAATGAGTTCGAATAATTTAATTTTTATCTTAAGTTGAATTCAAAGTTGAAAATTAAAATTCAATTGAGCTCAAACCAAATTTTATATTGTCATAATGTATAGATCCGTGGACCTATCGTTAGATATAAATTAAAGGAAGTTGCCACCAATCTTTTTGTTTAGATGTGATTGACCACCTGATTGAATCTGTTATATTTAAAGAGAAATTTCAAGATTGATTTGGGCATCTTTCAATAATAGATTCTGATCTATGAAACAAGAATTTAAATTCGGGAATATGATTACATGTGAGGAAGGTTATAGTGCCCTTAAAACACCCATCAAAAGATGATATGAGTTTGATCTCAAATTATCCAAGCCTATGTTTATGCTTTTGCCAAAATATTTAATATTGAAAATTAATCTTAAAACTATTCCAATAGTTTGGTAGTAATTTAAGATAATTTTTTCATCTTAAAAGTATTCATGGAGACTAGAGTCTCACTCTGAAGAGGCTTCGTCGTCGAATTTATTAATATTTATTATTATTTTTATTTAGGAAGAATCAATAAAGTTTTCTAATAGTTTGGAAGGACTTACTTTGAAGCAAATCTCCCAATAGTTTAATGAGATTTTATTGTAGAAAGATTTATAAAAATTTATTCTTTTTGAGAAAATTCATTAAGTCTCTCAATAGTTTGGTAAAACTTAATTTATGAAGCAATCCTCTAAGTGTTTGGAGGATAAAATTATTTTTTTATTCTTCTTTCATTATTTTTTATTTGAAAAAAAATAATTTATGAAATTTTTCAATAGCTTGGTGGATTCTATAATGTTTAAATTTATAAAATTCTCCAATAGTTTGGTAGGAATAGTGGATTTATTTAAAAAAGATTTTTTTTTATTTTACCATTTTTTTTCGTTTTTCAGAAAGGAAATTTTCTTTTGCAAAATATTTAATAAATAATAAACTACTTAAAAATAAATAAATAATAAAACCAGTAAAATCAAAAATCAAAATCAAAAGAAAATAAAATAAAATAAAATAACAAAAAAAAAGAAAACTTACGATTTGGGTCAGGTCAATGTGCAGGTCAACACGTGGGCCAGCGGATCTAAGCGCAGATCTAGGTGTTCCAAAACGTTGTCATTTTGGAATACTACATAAGCCAAATCTACCTGTTTCTCCTTCAGGCGCCCTTTGCTCAATCTCTCTCTAAACCAAAGAATGCTCTAACCTCTCTCTAGAAAAGCTTAGAGCTTTAACCAAAAAATGGGAAAAAACTACTAGTTTCTAGAAATTTTGCCTAAATCCTGTTGGAAACTTCAACCTTCATAAAAAAATTCAACCAAAAAATTCATGTTCATCCCAAAACCTAGTTTTTTTTCTAGAAAAATCACAGAAACATCAAAATTCTTTCAGATCCTTTCAGAAATCCTCTAACAACTTAAACCACCTTCCTCGAAACCTAAATCTAAACCCAGAAACTTCCAAATGAACCAAAAATTCTAGAATCAAAATCCTAGCAACCCAGAACTTAAACATTAATTTCTTACACCAAATCCACCATTCCTTCCAAAATCCATTGTGTCTTATGTCCTTTGAGAAATGTTCAATTTATAGGTGTTTTTAGGAGGATCTTTAGGAAACGGACAGAACCAATACCAAGCTTCAACCCTAGGATTGGATTCTGCCCGAGTAAGATTTTAGACTAAGTATTAGCAATCTATCTGGATTGAATTTGAAACCCTTTTGATTATGAATTAAAACCGTTGACCATTTGGATTGAACTTTAGATTTTTGTTTCTATGCTTAATCGTAACTTTGAAAAAAAAATAAAAATAATAATAATAATAATATGATAACAATACATAACATAATATAATAATATAATATAATAATTATACCATAATATAATAATATACCAGACTATATAATATGACTAAAATAATAACAAACGGCCATAATCGATCCCTAAACACAAATGGGTATCTATAGCTGCCCCTCTTTACACATCTCTATTAGACAAGGATGATGCAAAGACACTCACTTTGTTGCAATCCAAAAATAAGAGTCAAACCAGTTAAACAGAAATATTGGGATGGAGCCGCAAGTCAAGAAAATAATCCAAACTAAACCGAGATCAAATAGTTAGGAAAATGATGTGGACAAGTTGAGATCAAATAACCAAGATGAAATCACAAGTCAGAAGAATAATTTGGATTGAGTCGAGTTCAAATGATCGGAACAGAACTACGATCTAAAGATAAAATAACCAAGACTAAGTTAAGATCGAAGATGAATGATCGAGATGAAATCATGAATTAGGAAAATGATCTAGATTGAGCTAAGATCGAATGACTAAGATGAAACCATGAGTCTAAAAATAAAATGATATAGACTGAGCTGATATCGAAATGAGTGACTCGGATCGAATCGTAGGTCAAAAAAATAAAGTTCAAAATTTCATTCTAAATCCAATGATTCACAATTTGGACATTCAAAATTTTGTGAGGTTCTATAACAGAAGTTGAAAGATCCCAATATTCCAAATTTAACAACATCGCAAAAATTCAAGATTTGTAAAGGATTTCAGATTCACAAGATTTCATATTTTGCAGAGATTCTAGATTTGCAAAGATCTCAGGTTCACAAGGACTTTTCAGATTCGCAAGAAAAAAAGAATCACAAGATTCTAAGTTTCACCAATGTTCTAGATTTGCAAAGATTTCAGGTTCATAAGGACTTTCAAATTCATAAGAAAGAAAGATTTGCAAGATTTCAAGTTTCACAAAAGTTCTAGATTCACAAAGATTTCATGTTCACAAGGATTTTTAGATTCACAAGAAAGAAAGATTTGTAAGATTTCAAGTTTTGCAAAGGTTAGAAAAATGATCTGGACTAAATCGAGATCAAAATGAATGATTGGGATTGAACCATAAGCCAAAAAATAAAGTAATCAGGACTGAGTTTAGGTAAAAAATAAATGATCGGGATGAATTCACGAGTCAAGAAATGATCTAGACTTAGTCGAGATTAAATAAGTGATAAGTGATAATGCAACGATACAAATGCATGTCGCATCTAGGATGCAAATGTAAACATAATGTATGTAATGCTGATGTCATAAAATTTCAATTATCGTGACAAAGTTCTTAAGAGTCCACCAGTCCTTTTTAGCTTTTTAGTATTAATAGTCTCAAAGTAAATTTTGTCAACTGATCCACGTCATTTTCTCACCTGATCATAACTTCACAGGTTGTGTCAACCAATTTATTACTGGATTCATCACTGGGTCATCCGTGCCCCATTTTAAATCATTTTTTCATGCTTCTTTTATTTATCCCATCTTGGATTTCTTTCAAAAGAATAAAAAACTCCTTATGAAAAATGTCATTCATCTATTTGCCATCATTCAAATCAGTGATAAACATGATACATTTTTTTTATTCATTCAGGGAATATTTGGTAAAGAATGAGAAAAATGAGTCATTATTATTAAGAAAATAAAATGTAGGGTCAAGAATAATTCAAGGATGAACAAAGGCAAAATACTGTGGTTTATTCAATCAACATCCAAAATAATGATTGTTCAGACAATTTTGAATTTAAACTTACAATCATCTTTAAAAAACACATATTTTCAATCCTTAAGCCAATCATCATCCTCATTCCTAAGTTTTCATATGAAGTTATTTTTTTATTTTATCTTTACTTAAACTGCCCTTTTAGGTTTTCAATCTAAGTTTTCCTTCCTTTTTTTTTCACTTTTTATTTTTTTTGCCCTTTTTTACTTTTTTTTGCCTTTCTTTTAACACCTCGTTTCTCTTTTTTCTTTTCATTTCCTTTCTATCCATCAGTGACACTTTGATCAAAGTTTTAATCCAATAACAAATCTGCCTTAATTCAACTCATGATTCTTCAAATCGAGTATTCACATTTGATTAAAATAGGCTTTTAAAGGATGTAACATAAGCTAGGGTAAAGGGTTATGAAAAAAATGGATGAAACAAGTCCAAACTGTATTTAAAGGGTAATCAAACTAAAGATCATTTTTCAAATATAGTACATTGGCTATTTACCCCATCAATTTCTCCTTCATTTTTTTTTTCATTTATCAAGAAAACTTGAGCACAAAAGGGCTTTACCCATAAAATCACTAAAGATGAACAAGTTTCTCAAACTTTGCCTCCAATGTGGGGGTGATCTTTGGTTAGAGTTCCTCCAAAAAAATTTTTAACAAGCTCAAATGGGATAGCATAGGATAATTTTACTCTTCTTTTTTTAAAAGGTAGAAAAAATGTTATTTCTTACTTCAAACATGAATACTCTCAATGGATAATCTTTATTGACAAAGAGCAAACTTGTGAATGAGCAAAGATCATGTGTTGTGTCACTTTTGAAATTCTTCCCTAGACTTGTCCTTTTATTCAGTAGTCCCTACA